TATTATTATTATTATTATTATTACTATTATGGTCATCATTATTATCATTATTACTATCATTATGGTGATGATGATGAATAGTTGAGGGCGGCGACTCACCCAGTGCGCGTCCCAGTTGCCGTGTATGAGGGCAGGGCCGAAGGATCTGGCGGGGTTCATGCCTGCTCCGGTCATCTCGGCCTGGCAGACAGAGGTCAAGGTCAGACAGTCTCAGGGGTCAACCACGGGCGCCCATCGTCCAGGAGGGGGGAGGGGCAAGGAGGTCGTCTTGTCTTGTCTTGTTTTGACCTGTTTTGTCTTGTCATCTTGTCTTTTCTTATCGTATCTTATCTTGTTTTGTCTTGTCTTACCTAATCTTGCCTCGTCTTGACTTATCTTGTCTTGTCTTATCTTATCTTGTCCTATCTTTTTTATACAGTCGAACCTTCCACGACGGCCACCCGTACAAACGGACACTTTCTATCACATCCCTCCCCCCTTTTTTGTGCCTTTTTCTATATAATTTGCAAGTGTAAAACGGTCATCTGTCCAACGCAGCCGCGGCCACCCTATTGTATCAATCAACAGCTCAAATTTACCTGCCTGAGACGGCCAGGCTTTGTCAAAATTTCTACTTTTTCCCCTGACGCTGAGGAGAAGCCGTCATAATTCATTCACCAGTCGCTATTGTCAGTCCCTTCAATGACTCATTCACCTGTCGCTATTGTCAGTCCCTCCAATGACCCATTCACCTGCCATTATTGTCAGTCCCTCCAATGTCCCATTCACCAATCGCTATTGTCAGTCCCTCCAATGTCCCATTCACCAGTCGCTATTGTCAGTCACTCCAATGGACGAAACGGTCATGTTGCTCCCAATGTTTACCCAAGTTGACCAATGGGTAACAACAAATTTTAAACTGCTGGTAAGGGAAGCGTGTGATCCGTCATAACCTATAAGCCCTGCCCACAACTCAGTCCTTAAACCCAGTCCATAACAATGGAAGTCAGCCCAAATTGACGACAGAAATATCTCTCGTTCGCCGAGTGGTTGCGACCTATTTGTTTGTTTTACAAAGGCATTTGGCCTTCCTCGTCTGACACATTTCGTTTTGTAATGACCTTTCGCGGATCCTTTTTTTTTAATTGTAACGGTCATACCCTCTCCCTTCCTTGCAAAAAACCCCGAAAAATAAATTGTAATTATAACGAGGCTACGGCAGTCCTAACCCTGAGACCCCCTCCAGTTTGGACCTCAAAAGTAAATGGTTTGTTTTCTTCATTTTGACCAATCCTGCCTAAGACGGCCACCTGTCTTATACGGCCACTTTTCTCAACAACAAAGCGTGGCCGTCTTACGCAGGTTCGACTGTATTATATGCTATCTTGTCTTCCCTTGTCTGGTCTTGGCTTGTATTATCTTATCTTATCTCATTTTCTCTTATTTAGGTTATCTCATCTTCTCTTATTTTACCTTATCTTGTCTTGTATTGTTTGATTTGTCTTGTTGTATCTTATCTTATCTTGAATTAGCGTGTCGTGTCTTGTCTTGTCTTACATCTTATCTTATCTTATCTTATCTTATCTTATCTTATCTTATCTTTTCCTTTTTTATCTTGAATTATTGTATCTTACTTATCCCATCTTATCTTATCTAGCTTATCTTATATGTTTTATCTTATATGTTTTATCGTATATGTTCTTATTTTACCGTATATTCTTTTATCGTATCTTATATCATCTTGAACTGTTATATCTTACTTATCCAATCTTATCTGATCTTATCGTATCCAAATGTATCTTATATCATCTCATCTCTGCACTCACGGCAAAGTTGACGAGCACGGCAATGACGCCCCCGACCATGAAGGCGTGCGACCCCCCGTGGTCCTCCCTGTGGTGGTCGATGGTGGCGAAGACAAAGAAGAGGAGGAAGAAGGAGATGGAGAACTCCACGATGAAGCCTTTCGTCTCGTCCACGCCGATGGAGCGGTGGAGTAGGGTCTGGCATGTGGAGCCGATCTGTTTTCCGCAGAAAGTGTATTGTTGTAGAGTTGGTACACGGTTTTACGGTACTTCCAAAACCTAAATAGGTAATGTAAGGGTCGATATTTATTCAAATTGAGAGTTTTACGGCACTTGCAACACAGGTAGGTTAAATAAATGCCGACATTTCGTTTAAATAGGAGTTTTACGGCACTTGCTACACAATTAGTGAGTGCCATAGTGAGAAGTTCATGGAACTCTCAACGTAAATAGGTTGTATACTGGTTAAAATCTCATTAGCAAAGGTGAAAAGATCAAACAAGTCCAACAGTTCAAATATCTAGGATATATAATAAGATCTGATGCAACATTTCCACAGAAATAAAACGGAAAATTACAATTGCTAAGGCTAATTTCAATAAAAATGAGCCCAATCCTGAAAAATAGAAGCATCTCAATGACTATCTAAAGGAAAGTTCTGAAATGGTATGTATGGTCAACCCTTCTATACGGCTGTGAATGCTGGACAATCACCAAGGACAGTGAAAATAAAATAGAAGCAACAGAAAATGTGGTTTCTTAGGAGACTGCTAAGAGTATCTTGGAAAGAAAAGAAGTCAAATGAGGTAGTGCTTGATGAAGCCCACGTGGGACACTCAATGTTAAAAGCAATCAGGAAACGACAAATGCAGTTTTTGGGACACCTGAATAGACATTAGAGTCTTGAACGTCTAGCTCTCACTGGCAAAATTGAGAGCAAGCGAGGCAGGGGTAGGCCCAGAACAGCCTACTTAGAGAACCTAAACAAATGGGTAACAGGGAAAGATCCGGGAAACGTAGCTTTTTTAGAGCATCCGAGCAAAGGAATGAAAGGAGAACCATGATCGACGATGTCTGTCGCAAATCTGGCACTGGATGGTGATGAAGTGCCTATATGTAGTTTTAGTCAGAGTTTTACGACACTTGTAACACAATTACGTCATATAGAAGTCCCAAAGATGAGAGGTCGTACAAGAAAGTAACATACAAAACAATGAAAAAGCAGAGATGGATGTTTGATAAGAAAGAAGGAGCTAACCACAGCAGAGCACCCACATACCACCCACTGTGTCTGACCCTAATCGTGTCTCCGCTAACTAATAACTTAGGTCAAACACGTTTTTGTCTTAAGTTATGTTATCAACACGGGTGGGTGTAACTGGTGAACACGTTTTTTATCTCAAGTTATGTTATCAACACGGGTGGGTGTAACTGGTGATAGGCGTACTAATATTTTATCAAAACTCGCAGTTACAAGTTGAGTCCTTCCAAATCAATAAACCAATCAATCAACCAATCAATCATTCGATCAATCAATCCAATCTATCAATCCATCAATCCATCCGTCCATCCATCCATCTATCCATCCATTCATCCATCCATCCATCTATCCATCTATCCATCAACCAATCAACCAATCAACCCACCAACCAACCAACCAACCAATCAATCAGTCAATCAATCAACCCATCCATCAATCAATCAATCATTCAATGAGCTGACCGCTTGTCCCCTGAGGTAGGTGTGGAAGCAAGACCCACAGATAGCTCCAGCCACCTGGACCAGAATGTAAGCAACACACCTAGAGAGAGGAAATAAGATAAGATAAGATTAGATCGATAATTCTGTCTTATCCCTGGTGGGTCTTTTTCTTGGCTGTACAGGACCGTAAAAACACATGCAGGTATACATAAACATGTTAATTATACAGACTTCAACAAAAGTTAAGGACCACCTTGACAGAGAGCCTTTATTTTTTTAAAATCCAAAACAAGACGGCAAAGAATGCTTCAATTTTTTAAAACAAATTTTTGCGTACTGGGCAAAACCTCCACGTGCTGCACGGAAATCCTAGGGGAATTTTAGCCACATTTGCTGTTTTTTTATCGACTTGTGGGCGACACCAGGGACATTCCTCAGTTTAAATTTTTAGTGCACGTCATAAACGGGCGTACGGTCTCAAACTGTGCTCACTTTGGTGGAAATATAAGCTGCCATTTGCTCAAAATCCAGCATCGCATCAACATGCCACCAAGACAAAAACTGAGAGACTTTGATCGCTCCAGAGCTATAGCATGGCCTTCAGGATGGAGTTGGAGCCCGAGAAGTTGCCAGAAGGCTTTCAGTGTCACACTCTGTCATTGCTCGCCTGAGGCAGCGCCACCAAGCCTGGATCAGTCCACGAGGGCCCACATGAGTGTCGACCCAAGAAGACACTCAGAGTGTTTGCAAGTGGTCCTTAACTTTTGTTGAAGTCATTATATTTCTCTCATTCAAATTCAATATGAAAAGAGAAGTAAAGCTGACATTAAATGCATCACTCAACCACATGCAGGAATTTAATTACAAGACATTTAGAGTTTATATATATAT